TATGTTATCAAAGTTTATTAATGTTAAGCAGGAAGACTGGGACCTATTCCTTCCATGCGTAGCTTTTTGTTACAACACAACCGTCAATGAAGCTACAGGCGAATCATCCTATTTTCTAATGTTTGGTCGCGATCCAGTATTCGCTATTGACCGTACACTAGAACCACAAACCCCACCTTTTTTTTCCTCCCACGCGTGAGGTGGACGAGTATAAAGCACAATTAGTCTCAGCGCTTCAACTTGCATGGTACAACGTGGCTGAACATGCCCGACATTACAAGCTTAAAATGAAACTAAGCTATGACAAAGCAGCCCGACCTACAAAGCAGCCAAACTACAAATCCAAACCGGTGACAGGGTTTTTATGAAAAATTTCACCAGCAAACAGGGTCTGGCACGCAAACTTTGTTTTCCGTGGATCGGACAATTTCGAGTAATCAAAATAGATCCTCCACATGCTGTTATTGTTAGTATCACTTCATCTCAGTCAAAACCACGTAGAGTACATCTGAACCAAATCAAAAAGGTCCTGGATTGCTGCGGTCCCGCTTCTACCCTCCCTCAATTCCGGGAGAAGAAGAATACATAATTGCTCGAGCTCCAGCTACAAGCCGTCCCTATGCCCGAACCGACGCATGGCTACAATCTTCGGTCAAGAAAACCCACCCATTCCTCATAAACTGCTTCCTTCTCTTTCACTCATTTGAATCGCGATAGCCATCATGATTCACTTCCTTTTCTACTTTCCTTTTACATTATTGTCGTGTTTATCAACGATTTACATACTCCGCGTCGTTTCTTCTCTACAAACCTTTTCCAATGTGCTTTGTCGCAACTCAGCTACGATTCCTTCCACCTACAAATACATTAGTAATATATTCTTTTCACTTCCAGATATTATGGAGCAAGCTGCGCAATCGCCGTCTGAAACCATCGGTGATCAGTCAGATATGAACGTTATCTCAGTAGAGGGACCTTCACCTGAACCGACTTATTTTTCTAATGATAATCCTGAGCAATGCAACACCGAAGCAATCCTTCCAGTAGATGAAGAAGTTGAGGCAATGGGCATCGGAATGGACGCATCCACCCACCCTTCCGCTTGATCAGGTAAATGTTAAAATAAAAGAGAAACAAGCGATTAAGTCTTTTGATTTGCTGGTTACCTCGACAGAGGAACCAGCACCCAAAAATTCTAAACCTCGTAACGACAAAAGCTCATCGAGTACAGTAACAAAAATTCACCCCCAAGTGAGCCCATTACCGAAGCGCAAGCTGAGGAATCGGCCAATCTAACTTTTCAAGTCACTTCGGCTCCTGCCCCAGGTGAAGACGTGATTTGCAAGACAGCGACCGATGAGGGTGTTGCGGATACGTTGGCTTCATTAGTAGCCCAAGCTTCCGTACGCCCTCGCAGTCCTGTCGCAAGCACGTCCCGAGCAGGTGTCGCTAAAATACCGTACGAGCGAAAGGACGTACCATTAGAGCGTAAGCTCAGTAAGCCATTAGAAAAATTTGTCAATCATCCGTGGGCTAACCTATTACGCCCAAAAATCTCTCCACCAGTATCAAAAGCTTACAATACCAATTTGTCAGAAGCTGAGTTCGAAAAAATTCCCATTTCAGGATACAGTGGCCTCGTTGATGGTCTCTGTCCGATTCAGTGCAGTCCGGACCATGAACCTGTGGGCGGGGTCTCGATTCTAGCTGCGGTCGGTCCGAACGCCATAGAAAACTTTCGAAAGAATAACGACTGCTCTAATCTTATCGAATTACGAAGAAAGGGTGAGCCACTGCCCAAGATGCCGTTGGTGGCAGGCGCATCACTTGAAGAACAAAACCTCTCAGTTCGAGGTTTGGTTCTTGACGGTACGGTAGCACCTGTATTATATAGGGTCAAGAATTTCTTTGGTACAAGCGCGAAACTTGAGACTGTACATGTTGAGGTTGCCCTTCCCGACCGCCTCGACTTGCATACCATCCAGTTCGATTGTTTTGCCATTAATATCCTTACAGGTAAGAGCGGTATCGCGCTGACAAAGCTTATTATTGGAGACCTAGTATGGG